CCTTACGAGGATGCTCCTGTAGCCACGACTAGCGTTACAGCGGCTCCAACAAAGACCCCAGCTCCTAACCCGGATGACCATCATGACCGGCCTGTGAACGCAAAGCCAAAGCCAAAACCAACAACCACAAACCCCACGCCAGTTGAAGATGTGAAGCTGCCAACGAGTACTACCAGCAGTGAGGCTGAAACGCCCTCTGCTTCGTCCGCCGGATCAGGCTACATCTCCTCTTGGCTTCCCACTTTCGGTGCTTCGAAGCGCACACAGATTTGGATTTATGCATCCATGGCCATGATCGTTACCTTTTTCATTGGATTGGGTGTTTACTTCCAGCTGCAGAGGGTCAAGCGTCGTCGCACCACTGCTCACGATGACTACGAGTTTGAAATGATTGAGGATGAAGATGAGATGCAACCGATGACTGGAGCATCTGGTCGAACACAGCGTCGTGGCGGTGAGCTGTATAATGCATTTGCTGGGGAGAGTGACGAGGAAATGTTCAGTGATGATGATGATCAGCCGTATCGCGATGGGTTGGCCAATATCCCGGAAAAAGACAATGGAGATGGAACGTCTCATGGTGGCCCCCATCAGCCAAAACCTTAATATAATGTCGATACTCATTTTGCATTTTGTTCGGTGTTGTCGATTGCTCTGTTGACTTGGTTGTTGAATTGAGAGGATCGTTCGTTAGGAATAGACGGGTTGGGATCCTAGGTCTGTCTGTATATCTCCAGTTGACAGGAATCCAAAAGCGTGTTGTGCATACTACAAATAAATATTCAGATATTCAGATGAAGCAATCTCGAGGATTCATAGAATATGAATATGAATATAAGGAAGCGAAAGGACCGAGTAGCAAGTAGCAAGCAACTCTTATTGACATTCATTGCGATGATGACGTTCCGCTTCTGGAACTCCGCCTTGGGGAACGGCGATCATTGAACTTAGCTCCAACCTCCACCCCCTCCACTCCACCTCTCTAGCCCTTTCAGTCCCTATCATTCCTTGATCAAACATTTCCTGCAAATATTGATTTATCGGCATCACTAGGGTTTCAACAACTATCAGCCGGTTGACCACGGCCGACCGACACCCCCACGATGGATCAACATGACGACTTTGACAGTGTGTCTTGGAAGCACGACCCAGACAGCGATACCTCACGGCCCACAACTGCAGGTACAGATTCTGGAGAACCCAGTGAACCTCATCATGACATCAATGGCAAGCGGAGAATGAGCTCCGCCCAAGAAGAGCCCCAGGCCGGCCCGCTAGCCGACGCCGTCGACCTAGCGGGCATCGGCGATGGCGTTCTCGAATGCCAGGTTGATTCTCCGCTCAAAGAAAATGACGGGACAAAAGACGCATATATCTCGTACCTGGTTACCACACATGTATGCTTTTTTCTTTGCATACATTGTCGGGGAGTGGTGCAACTGCTGCCTAGACCTCCCGACATCTGTATATCCTCAAAATGACCATGACTGACATATATAGACCGACTTCAAATCATTCCAGAAGCCCGATTTTACGGTTCGACGGCGCTTCACCGACTTCTACTTCCTATACAAGACGCTCTATCGCGAATACCCGGCATGCGCGGTGCCGCCGCTCCCCGACAAACACAAGATGGAGTACGTGCGAGGAGACCGTTTCGGGCCGGAGTTTACAACGCGACGAGCTTGGTCGCTGCATCGATTTTTGAAACGTTTGACGCTTCATCCTGTGCTTCGGCGGGCGCCTCTTCTCACTATCTTCTTGGAATCGCCGGACTGGAATGCGCATATGCGCCTGCATTCAACACGGGTATCAACAAATACCGGGTCCGATGGCGCCGCCACTGGGATCTTTGATAACTTTACTGATTCATTTGTGAACGCCTTCTCTAAAGTGCACAAGCCGGACCGGCGCTTTATCGAGGTACGAGAGAAGGCTGATAAGCTGGACGAAGACCTATCACATGTGGAGAAGATCGTGGCACGGGTTGCGCGGCGAGAATCCGACTTGGAGACAGACTATGCCGAGCTCGCGACGCAGTTCCGCAAACTTGTCCCGTTAGAGCCTGCTGTTGAGATGCCACTGCAGGTCTTTGCAGCTTCAGTGGAAGAGACCGCGCGCGGGATGCGCGGGCTGAAGGATCACACCGACCAGAACTATTTGGGCTCGCTGCGCGATACCGAATCGTATATAATGTCCCTCAAGTCCCTGCTGAAGACACGGGAGCAGAAACAGCTCGATTTCGAGGCCTTGGTCGATTACCGCAATAAAGCGGTGACCGAGCGTGATTCTCTGGCTTCCAACCCAGCTGCTTACTACGCCTCTAACCCGCTCACCTCTTCTCCAGCCTCTTTCATCCGCTCTAAGATGGAGGACATGCGCGGCGTCGACCACGAACAGTCCCGCCGCGAGCGTGTGCGGAAGCTTGAGCTTCGTATTGATGAATTGACCCGCGAGGTCGAGTCCGCCAAGACTACAACCGAGATGTTTGACGAGGAGGTCATCCGCGAAGTCGCGGATTTCGAACGTATCAAGGCGGTCGAGTTCCGAGATGGACTCGGCTCGTTTGCCGATTCGCACATCGAGTTCTATCAGGGCGTGCTTTCTACGTGGGAGCGGTTCGTAGCAGAGATGGAAGGCGAAGCTGAGCCTGAACATGACTCTGACTCGGCTGCTGTCGGAAGCGTTTAGGTATTTAGGTATTTGTTTCAGCATGCTTTATTCATTATCCAGACCGAGTCTGATATAGCAGTTCATATTTGTTGCTGTCGCTATGTTTCATACCCGCAATACCATCATAACTCTTCATTTATTCATATAAATTCAATAGAGGAAGTAAAATAGTGATGAAATGAACATTTATATAGTATCAATGCCATTAAAAAAGAAAGAAGCATTACCATCACCAGCGTGGACATAACCTGGGGTTGTATGCAGGTGTTTGTACTGTTTGCACTGCAAGTCTATCTTGAGGTCGATCATCCGATTCAACCTCCAATCACCAAACACAATGCGTCCAATCTCCAGAGCTGTCCTTCGGCCGTATGTTTGCCCAACCTGCCGGCATGGCATTACCGCCGGTCGGCGGCAATTTGCATCTAAATCGGATTCCCCTGACCTGTATGACGTGGTTTGTGTTGGAGGCGGGCCGGCAGGCCTAGGGCTATTGGCCGCACTTCGTATGTATACCATACGCAGATAAGCAGGGCATATACTGATACAATGCTACTACAGGAGCATCACCCATCACCTCAAAGCTCAAAGTCGCCCTCATCGAGACCCAAGATCTCCGCAAAGCCAAAGCCTGGGACCTCGAACCGAACCAGTTCTCCAACCGGTGCAGCAGCTTGACCCCCTCGACCGTGGCGTTCCTGCGTAGCATTGGCGCCTACGATAAACTCGATGTTAGTCGCGTGCAGGAATACCAGGACATGCAGGTCTGGGACGGCCAAACCGGGTCCCGAATATCATTCGATTGGTCAATGGAGACATCCCCATTCGAAGACATGCGCACTGTAGCAACCATGACCGAGAACGCGAACCTGGTGCGCGCCCTGCTCCGCCGCATCGCCGACTCAGGTGACGAGAACCTCTCCCTCTTCTCAAACTCCACAGTCGCCTCCATCGAGAACGGCTCAGACCTCAAACCCGACGGTCCCGACCTCTCAGCCTGGCCCATCGTCACCGTCAAGCCCACAGGCCCCGCCGCAGAAACAGAGCCACCCAAGCGCATCGCGGCCCGCCTCCTCGTCGGCGCAGACGGTATCAACAGCCCCGTCCGCACCTTCGCCGACATCCCCACTCAAGGCTGGGACTACGGCCGCCACGGCATCGTCGCAACCCTCGCTCTCGCCGAGCCAGCCACCGCGCCCTTCCCGGCCTCCAAGCGCACAGCCTACCAGCGCTTCCTCCCCGCTCTCGGCGGCCCCATCGCCCTCCTCCCGCTGCCAAACAACCACGCCACCCTCGTCTGGTCAACGACCCCCGAGCACGCCGCCTACCTAAAGTCCCTCCCAACCCCGGCCTTCCTCGCCATGGTCAACGCCGCCTTCCGTCTCGACATGACAGACCTCACCTACATGATGGGCATGCAATCCTCCTCCTCCGATTCCGCCCCATCCCACCAAGACGAACTCACCTGGCGCGTCCAGCACACCCCCCTTCCAGCCCAAGTCCCTCCCCCAGCAACAGGCGTGCAGACAGGAACAGTCGCTTCCTTCCCGCTGCGCTTCCGACACGCCGCACAGTACGTCTCGCCGCGCGTTGCCCTCGTCGGCGACGCCGCGCACGTCATTCACCCCCTCGCTGGTCAGGGCCTAAACCTCGGCCAGGCGGATGTTGCGTCGCTCTCCAAGACGATTCAGTATGCTGTCTCGCATGGCATGGATATCGGTGATTTGCTTGCTCTCGAGCGGTACTCGTCTGAGCGGTACTTGCCTAATGCGAAGATCGGCGGCGCTTGCGATCTCCTGCATAAGATGTATAATGTTCCTGGTGAAGGGCCGGTTGCTTGGGCGCGCAGTCTTGGACTCGGCGTCGTTGATCGGCTGCCTTTTGTTAAGTCGTTCTTGATGAAGAATGCGGAGGGGTATTAGTTTCGATGTTGTGGGGTGTATATGTATGGCTCTGTGTATTGTACTTCTAGTCCTTTTATATGCAAGGTTTCTATATTAAGTTGTGCCTTTGCCTTTTCAAGACGGCTGAATAGTCTCGAATGGTCGTGATAGTGTATGCTGTGCCATATTATAAACCTGTATCAAACCAAAGCACAGGGGAAATGTAATGAATTGGGTATTTGGAAATTCTTAAAGACATCAACCCATCTCTGAAATATATAGTTCTTTTTTCTCAACAATAACCCCCCAGTCCTTTTTGATAGGCCGAGCTCCAAGCCTGACAATGCAAGAGATCTACGTAGTAGGGAAAACAGAGAAACCTCTGAAAAACACGCTCTAAAGAAAAAAACGAAATGAAAAATGCAGACCCAATTGTTTAATCGCTTAAACAATGGTGCCCTGCAGCTGCTGCGCCAGAGATGAGACAATACCGTGGTTCTTCTTCGCAAGACGGTCACGCAGCTCGGAAATCAGGGAGGTGATTTCAACCTCGACACCCTCCTTCTCCGGGTGTCCTTCGGGCAGACCCATCTCCTTGATGCGGCACTTGCCGGCGGCCATCTCGTCCTCGCCGAGGATGATGCCGAAGGGGATGGCGCCTTGTTCGGCGGCCTTGAACTGCTGGGGCAGTTTGGGTTTTACCTTATAGGAGAACTCGGCCTGAAGTGATGTTAGTGTTTGTTCAGTACCAATGTTCATAGAAAGTCTACCTTGATGCCAGCACTCCACAGCTTCTGGCAGATTTCCATGCGCTCCTTCAACAAGCCGCCGAAGCCCTTGCCGCCGAAGGCCATGATGTAAGCGTCGACCTCGCTGCTGCGAAGGGCATCGGACCTCTGCTCGCGCTCGATGCGTGCCTTGGTAATGGAGAAGATACGGTCGACACCGAATGAGATGCCGACACAGGGGATCTGTGCCTTGGGCTGGAACATGCCGACTAGGTTATCGTAGCGGCCGCCGGCTGCGACACTGCCAACGCCGAGGGTGGGGTCGTTGGATCGGTCGTCGTCCTCGGTGGGCTGCTTGGACTTGCTCTTCTTGCCGGACCTCTCGGCCTTCTGTGCCTCTGGGGCGTCGGCCTGCACACCGGCCGAACCCTCGGTGACAACCTCGTAGATGACACCGGTGTAGTAGTCCAGACCACGGGCAAGGGACATATCGAAGGAGACCTTGTCTAGCACGTTAAATGCCTTGAGATAGTCCATCATCAATGCCATTTCCTCGAGGCCGGCCTTGGCGGAGGCATTAGCAGTGAGGGTCTCATCCTCCAGGAGAGTGTCGAGGAGCTCCCGCGAGCCCTTGTTCATAACGTATTTCTCAATACGATCCGCAACCTCAGGGTCAAGACCCTTCTCGTCGACCATTTCCTTACGCACGTCCGCCCACGGCATCTTGTCCAACTTATCGACGGCACTAGAGATCGGCCGGAGCTTGTCCTCGGGCACACCACAGACGGCAAAGACACCATCTAAGATCTTGCGGTGGTTGAGCTTGATGGTGTAGCGACCGCTCCAGCCCAGCTCCTCAAAGACCTCGCTGACGATGCGCAGGATCTCGGCATCGGGCACCATGGCGTCGAAGGTACCGGCGATATCGAAGTCGCACTGGTAGAACTCACGCATGCGGCCCTTGTTGATGGCGGGCTGGTCACGACGGTAGACCTTGGCGATGTGGTAACGCTTGATGCTGCGGACCTCGGGGTTCATGGCGAGCCAGCGCGCGAACGGCACTGTCAGGTCGTAGCGCAGCGAGCAGATCTCGCCACCCTGGTCCTTCAGATCGTAGATGAGCTTCGAGTCCTCGCCATATTTGCCGGCCAGGATCTCGCGCAGCTCGAAGACGGGGGTGTCCAGTGCGCTACCGCCGTGGCGCTTGAAGACGTTCGAGATGGTGGTGAAAATGCGGTCTCGGAGGAGGGCATCGGACCCGGACCAATCCTTGGTGCCCTTCGGGGTCTTGAGGTTGAAGTTGGTACCCTTTTCTTTCCCCATTGTGCTTGATTCGGCGGAGCGATGGGAGGAGGAAAACTGACGAGTGCGGCGGGGAGAAATTATTTGGTGGGGGATGGTGGGGGCAAGGATATTATTTTTATTCGCGATGACTCGACGATTCTGCAGAGACGGGCAATGAGCCAGACGAGAAATTGGAGACCGACCGAATTGATTGGCAATTGCTCGTTGTACAGAGCGCGAAGGAACAGGAATGGACGGCATAAAAAAAGAACGCTGCGAAACAAACGATTGGGTTTATCCCGGACACGTCGGTTCCAAACAGGTGCAGTTGAATTGAGAGATCACCTGATCTACATGAAGATAGATTATGCAGCATCTCAACTTATACCTCAACTTCTACAATCAAGCCATAACGAGCATTAAAACACCGGTTGCATTCAATCAATTGATACCAGTGATCTCGGTAGCAGCCCAGGTAAATTATGTAAACCTGGAAGGCTCCTTCCTGTTTAGGCTTCGGACCTCTCTTGCCTGTGCCTCTTCCTTGACTCTCCTCTACTTCACCTTTCACTTCTTCTCTCTGTCTTCTCTCTGTCTTGTCTAACTCTTATCTGGCTCTTCTTGACCATTCTCTGTATCTTCTTTAAGTTTTCTCTGCACCTTCGACTCTTTTACATCCTTGACAGTTCCTCGACTCTTGTATCCTTCGAATCTGCTTTCTTCAGCCTCCAGACATTCATAATGTCTGAATCTTCAGTTGTATCTTCGGCCTTCAGTAGGGCTAGTGCGCACGCGCTCAGCTTCTCTTCTACCTCGTCTTCCTCTCCACTTGGTGGAGGTTTATATGTCGACCACAGCGGTTTTCTCAAGTCCTCTCATCGTGCCGGTGGGCCAGTCCTAGCTTCTCTCCCAGCGGTGACGACAGAGAACACGTTTACTCACGATCCAGCTCAGATCCACGCGCGTGCTAAAAAAGTCCTGGATGATCTCGAGATCGAATTCTCCAATGTCATTCTGAAGGGCCGCACGTCAAAGGTTGACCCTGAACCTAAGCCAATTCCAACCCTGCTTGTCCTCATGCCAGACCTCCCGCAGCCTGATCTTTGGTATCAGGGTGCCAAGCAGATCTACCACGATTTGGAGCCACTCCTACCTGGAGTCTCTGTTGAGATTATCGAAGAGAAGTTTTACGACGGACTGTATTGTTTCCCCGTTGAACAGACCCATTCCATTCATTCCAAATGGAGGTCAATTGTCGATACTATTCTGGCGAATCTGAATATCCAGGAGTGGACTGGTATTGAATGTTGGCGGTATGGCACCAATACCGATAGGCATCTGAACCCTGTGACTATAATAGTGGAGGTTGATAAGACATCCACCGGGTCTTTTGATGCCGCAGCCCAGATCATTCGGGGTTTACTTACGCACTTTCAGGAATCTAGCGTTGATATCCTATTTATGAAGGACGGGAAGGATTCCCTGGTGTCAGCATAGGTATCCATGGCAGTTCGACCGGAACATCCACACTGGGTGGTCCTGTCTAGCTACGATTACCGAACGAATCGGAATGGCGCACCTATGGCCTAACTTGCTTTCACGCCGTTTGGCCTCCGGAAGGAAAGCGCCCGCTACAAATGTTACAAATCACATGAGCACACCTGGGCAGGCCAAGATTTCGCGCTGGGAATACAGCCCCCTCAGATTCAAGGAATCACTCAACACCATTGCCCCAGAGGTATTGAAAGTTGATCATCCATCTTTTAGAGGTCTCCAACATACTATCGCCGCGATAGATGATGATATCGAAGAATACAAAACCGAAGTATTTCTGAAGCTGGAAGCAACCCAAAAGGAGGACGTATGGATGTCATGCATTGACTTTGTCACCGGTTTGCCAGTTTCCCGTCACAACTTCAACGCACGTCGCCTTTATTACATGCAAATTCGCGAAGCGACTGGGAGCAATACCCGGCAAGACCACCTGGTCGAGCAAAGACTGGGCCCTAGCCACACTAGCGTTATAGGGGATTATCTACGGCAATCAGGCCCATTGAAGCACTACGCCAACCCTTTACGACAATGCGCGACAACGGAAGTTACTTCCTAGGACATCGATTTGACATTTCTCGCCGGTCAATCAGCCTGTGGCTTATCGATTTTAATCTGTGGGTGCTATTCCCGAATATTGCTGGACACTGCTAACATGTCGATAGGTGCGCAAAGTTCGAGAAGAGCCATGCAGGTCTGAAACTAATCGTGGACGCTTTTGTCTGGAATGACCCCTGGGACATATTGTTGCTGGAAGCGATTTGAATAGGACACAAATTAACGCGAAAGGTCAAGAGATCATGATGGACTGGGCCTTGATCAAGATGATCCGAGCCGATAAGGTTGAAGGCAATGGGGTAAGATAATATTCTGTTTATTGGAGATTTATTATATGGCTAATGTATGATTCTCTTATAGCCATTCTCTTACGAGCCTACTGGATTGGTTCAATCCGTTCCATTCTTCTTCCACCCTCAACTGCAGGTTTATGCCAAGATGAAGCTCTACAAGACAGGACGATCAGCTGGAACTACTTATGCTTACTACAACGGCCTCATGTCGGTGGATATTTCTAAGCATAGAACGACGAACGGATGAGTGAACAAATTCCCTACATGGGAGCACACAATGGTGGAATTCCTTTCTCACGCATTTGCAAAGCCTGGAGATTCTGGTTCATGGATTCAGCGGCGACATACGAAAGGGCAAAATCAACTTATCATGTATATTTGATATTTTCAAGGATATCAAAGACCTCACTGGCGCTGCCGAAGTGAGGATTGCCCCATGCCCAACCTGAAGTGCATAACTACATTTGAGCCAAGTCTTTTTCTTTTCTGAGTTTTTTCTCAAAGTAATCTAAGGTCGATAATAGTTGAAAGATACAATAACCACGCCATATCTAAGAACGCAATCCATCACGTGATTCAACAGACTGCGGTTTATTCTGTTTGGGGGTTATTTATCCGATGGGCTTATCCGACAACCTCTTGGTATAATAGTGGCATGTACATAACTATGGAGTGTATGAATTTGATATCAAATGTCCCTGTGATCTGATGTCTCACATCACCTGGCTGCCTTACCAATGCCTACTAGTATATAGACTCTAAAGCATACCGGTCATAAGACATATTAAGCGTCGAGGCGTATACAGCCAAGTTCTGGACTTCCCCGGATCTGCTACTGCAAATTGCGCTGCCACCCGAAATCCTTCCGGCTTATGCTCTTTCCTCTTTGGGGCAAGTCCATTCCGATGTCATCATACCGTGACAATTTGATATTGGATGCGGTAGGTATATAGTACATAGTACATTGTTGTGTTGTACATTGTCGAAAGGGCTATGACATGCAGGTAAATCGCTCAATCGATCTACTCCACAGTCTATAACGTCATTTGCGATAGAACTATATTAATCCGGGTTGTAACTGGTTAGCCTAAGCCTGATTAGACTGATACACTACGCCCTCCGTAGCCTTCCTATCTCCTAATGCCGGCCGAACATGCGATTTATTATTATATTATTATAATTAGTTATTGAGCCCCTTGAAAGAGGTAATTGTCGCCACCCCCGCCATGTACGTGCTGTACAGGCTTAGTCCCGTCGGATTGTATGTCGGTGCTCGTTTAATTGCTCCTCCCATTGGCGTGGGCAGATCATATGTGAGTTCGATCAGACGTTGAAGCCAGATTAGCCAGATTAACAGAGTGCCCCATCGCGGGAACGTGCGTTGGTGTGGTACCAGAGGAATGACTGGATTGGTATTGCTGCGCCTATTGGACCCCCGCAAGGGGCCGACTTCCATTGATATAGGCTGACGTTAGCCTGGACACATTCGACATAAGGTATTCCTAGGAATGGAATCTAGATGTTGATGCTTCCGGTCTAGACGATTCCCCCCCGAAAAGAGTTTCATGTAAGGAACAGGAAAAGATTCCGTGGAAACAATCCAACTTTGGAAGGGGCCGGGTCCACCGCCACCTTTCGTGGCCCCACCCCACGGACGGTCATTGGCTGTTGGGGCAACGCCATGCGAGGGGCGGACACATGGCCCGTGAGCGACGGTGGCTGGTGGCCAATCACGGCCGAGGAGTTCTTGGTCGAGGAGTCTCTCATGAGTCTCATCCATGGACGTGGGGGGAGGAGGGCTGCTCCGCTGGGGGAAACCGTTGTGGCCAATGAGTATAAGATGGGGCTCCGGTATATCCGGTGTTTCTTCTTTACTTGAGGTTGTCCTCCGTACTCCGTAGAGGATGTTGTACCTCTTTAAAGACTTGTATACCGGCTTAGGACCTGCTAGAGGCACAAATTCGGCGATTGGACCAGTACCTGCCTTAGGTCTCCACGTGGAGAGAGGCTAAGATGGATGGGGTAGGTCGCGATATGAGTTGTGTTTTCTGGACGATTCGGTTGCAGATGAAGTGATTGTATTGTTATGATGTTACTGGTTCTTATGTATGTTACTACAATAAAATAAATTGGGTCCATTCCAGTGCTCCCCTTGTCTCTGCTACTTGGCACATTACTTGCCTTCTTTCTCTTTAACTCTGGACTTGACTCTGGATCATCTCTAATCTATTCTCCCCTAATATCCCTTAACATATTACCCCATAACTCGGTGCCTTCTCTCATTCTCCCGCCCCTCTCATTTCCACCGGACCCCAGAAACCTTATGTGATCAAACGACAATCACTTTATTTCCCCGGACGCGCTTCATTTCCTTCTCCATCTTCCCCCCCCCCTTCTTCGTATGCCGATCTCGAATTGTGATCTCTAAACTCTCCACACACTGTGCCTCATCAATGCAGAGTGCGACCGACCATTAAGCCATCATGAAGGCGCTCTTCTCCAAGGGCTCCAAGAATGGGGTGAGTGACCATACATCCGCACAGCCATGCTCGCTCAACCTGGTAGCACAGCAGATGCTTCGGTCCCCGTGAGACCATTCGGATTGGGACCGCCACTGACTGGGACTTTCACTTGCGCAGGCTTCAAACCCCCCGGCCACGGCGCCACCCGTGAAAAAAGACTTCCAGGTACCGCAGATTTCCCCTCTGGAAAAGAGGCTGCAGGACATGGGTCCCATCCGCGACGACGGCAGCGACAAGTTTTATGGAATGGAAAATGTGAGTCACGGACTTCCCCGGAGTCTGCTGAGACCGCAACGGCACTGACCACAACCCCCCCGCGCTTCCAGTATGGAAACACTTGTTACTGTAACTCCATCCTGCAATGTCTCTACTACTCGGTGCCCTTCCGCGAAGCCGTCATCAACTACCCACAACGTACACCCATGGACAGCCTCGAGGCTGCCCTCGCGAAGAACCTACGTTACCAGAACCCAAATGCCCACCTCGAAGCCGAGGCGCTGGCTGCCAGACAAAAGGCCTCGTCCCCACCATCCGCGCGCCAGGCCGGTGTGCCCCCAAATCCCAACCAGAAGCCGGAGGACAAGGAGTCGCCTGAATACAAGAAGAAGGTCGCACTTCAGACCCTGCCGATTTTGGAAACCAAGAACAACGCGACCAGTTATGGGATGTCGGAGTCCCTGTTCACTTCGCTCAAGGACATCTTCGAATCGGTCGTAGGAAGCCAAGCACGCATTGGTATCGTTCGCCCGCAGCAGTTCCTGGACGTTCTCCGTCGCGAGCACGAGATGTTCCGGACCGCCATGCACCAGGATGCGCATGAGTTTTTGAATTTGCTCCTCAACGAGATGGTCGCCAATGTGGAAACGGAGGCCACGAAGCAGGCATTCATCGACAAGGCTTTGCCACCAACAGCAAGTGCCGACTCGTTGGGAATGGTGCCATCTAGCACGGGGTCGAAATCGCCAAATACTACCAGATGGGTTCACGAGCTGTTTGAGGGAACTCTGACGTCCGAGACCAAGTGTCTCACCTGTGAAAAGGTCTCGCAGCGCGACGAGGTATTCTTAGATTTATCGGTGGATCTCGAGCAGCATTCGTCCGTGACCTCTTGTCTGAGAAAGTTCTCGGCCGAGGAGATGCTCTGTGAGCGGAATAAGTTCCACTGCGACAACTGCGGCGGACTGCAAGAAGCGGAAAAGCGGATGAAGATCAAACGTTTGCCACGCGTGCTGGCTTTGCATTTAAAGCGTTTCAAATACACAGAGGACCTGCAGCGACTGCAGAAGCTGTTCCATCGCGTCGTCTATCCCTACCATCTTCGTCTGTTTAACACCACGGACGATGCCGAGGATCCAGACCGTCTTTACGAATTGTATGCGGTGGTGGTGCACATTGGCGGAGGACCATATCACGGCCACTACGTTGCCATTATCAAGACCGAAGACCGTGGCTGGCTGCTGTTCGACGACGAGCTCGTGGAACCAGTTGACAAAAGTTACGTGCGCAACTTCTTCGGAGATCGACCCGGACTCGCATGTGCCTATGTTCTATTCTATCAAGAGACAACTATCGAGGCTGTCCTGCGCGAGCAGGCGCAAGAGAACCAGGCCCCCATGGCCGGGGCAGCCGAAACAAGCGAGACCGGCAAGGCTAATGGGTCTCCCTTCTCACCACCTCTCGCCCATGCCCAAAGTGCATCACAGGTGCCTCCTGATCACACAACCCCCTTCACTCCTCTCAACCGAATCCCAACCGCACCTCAACTGCACACCTACCCAGAAGAACCCTCGGAGCCCCAAGCAGCTTCGCCGCGAGCCGTTCAACCGCCTCTCCCTCCAATCCCTGACGAACAAACCACCCCATTGAGCCCAAAGAAGAGTGATCACCAACTACGGAAAGAACGTCGGGCGATAGAGAAAGAGAAGGAGAAGAACGAAAGAAATCGCCAGAAAGAGCAGGAGATGTACAACCGAGAAATGCAGCGACGAGAGGCAGAGGAGTTGAGAAGAGCCATCGAGGCCAGCAAGGCCGACACAGCCGATCTCGCCGCTGAGAATGGATCACCAAGGAAGTCAACCGGGTTCGGCTTTTTGAAACGAGGCAGCCGAAGTTTCAGCCACAGACTCAGCAAGGAGAAAGAGCCCCGAGTCTCCATGTCAGACATGGCCACAGCGCCGCTCCTTGCAGAAGCCGTGCCAGAAGCATCCCTCGAGACAGAGCCGCCAGTCCAGTCGCCTGTTTCCCCGAGACATTTCCCCCCATCTCCCACCCTAAGCAGCCCAAACAACCCATCCGGACCTCGGAGCCCCTGGCCAAAGACCTGGTCAAAGACCAACCCACCAACCACACGCGGCCCGGCCATACCCCTCGGTGGAGATCCTTCAGTTTCAAGAAAGTGGCATGAACTACAATCAGTGTTTTCTTCGTTTTCTACACACAGCACTTATTCTTTTTCATCTCACGTCTTCAGCTCGACTTTCACGGAGATACCCCCTATCATCTTGCACCTTGCACATATGAGCGCAAATTTTGCTTCTGCACATAGCTTCCTTAATGGATGTACTATCATGTTCTTATGATCTGCGCCTTCTCCATCTTCCATTCTTCTGTGGAGGTCCTCGATCCCCGCCGGGGTATTTTCACAGCCATGTCTTTCTAGACTCTGTTGGATCTCAGATCCGGTTCTTTTTTTAACATCCCTTTTCCTTTCCTTTCCTTTTCTGCTCTTCCCATTGTACTTTGCTCTTTGATCTGTATTTTTTCTTCTTCTTTCTTGCTGCTATTGCTTTTCACCACTGCCGCTCCTTGTATCATGTACAAGCTACACTAACAGGATCGAAACCTGGCAGGTTTGCGAAAAGAGGCGTATTGGGTTTGCTGCTTGCTGTCTTGTCTTTTGCTGGCGAGCGTGGGTCTCTCTGATTTGGGCGTTTTAAACTATTCTTACATATCTCATTTCAAGTTATGAGCGAATCTTTCTCTTTTTTGGTTTGACTTCTGCGTACATGCAGTGTTCATTCTGGTCGTCCATGCACGGTAAAAAGATGGTAAAAGGCCGGTCATCGGCGCGAATAAGAAATAAGAGATCAAATACAAGATACAGGTCTGCAAATCACCATATCCCACTTACTCCCTAACACCTCCGCGCAAGCATGTCGTAAAAGAAGAAAAAAATCAAGGCGCAGGAATGAGCCCGACGGTATTCAACCCCATCTCGGTGATCATGTCGCGGAGAGAAGTGAGATCAAAGTCAAGGCAGTCGGTGCCCTGACGGCCTGGCTCAACCACGCCGTCGAAGATGTCTTCTCGAGTCAAGTAGATAGGTCGTTCGACGGGGCCTCGAACCGGGAAAATCCGGTTACTCCAGATCATTCTCGCATTACCTGTAGCATCCCGACCCCAGAGCTCGATTGTACCAGCGACTCCACTCTCCCGCCGGGAGAATCTGATCATAATGACCTTACGTACATTAACACCAACACCCTCTAGCCAGAATCTCACAGCCTGTACTAGGCTCGAATAGGATTGACCAAAACCAACCTCCATAACCACGGTTGGATGACCAGTTGCAGGGTTGTCCTGGGAGTGATATACATATCTGGCTCTTTCTGATCACCGACGTACCCAGGAGATTGAGCCGTTACTAGCGGGCTTGCCATTACCCTCACGCGCCGCGCCTCAGCTTGTGTAAGTTGGCCGTTGAAACTCCACTGTAAAAGTTGTTGAAAGAACCAGGCGTGTGGGGCTGAGTTGGTGAAACTCGGTAGTTTGAGGGTGAGGACTGCTTTGTGAAGGTAGAAGCTCTTCCGGACGTGTGTGTATTTCTCATCGAGGAGCTCGAGGAGGTTGGTTCCGATCTCTTCGGTTACGGAGGTTAAGATTAGGAATGAATAATGCGACTGGGTGAAGAATCCACTGTCTTCGATGGTACTTAGTGCCTGGTTTGCATTTTTGGTTTTTTCTAAGGAGATTTCGGTGTCGTGGTCCACTTCGGATTCATCGATAGCAGACTGCTGGGTTGATTCTGTGGGTGGCACTGACTGCTGGGTTGGTTCTGTGAGTGGGTGGTTTTCCTTGGGGCTATCACTGTCTAGGGATGGACTATTCTTCAGTGAATCCATGACCGCGAGGACATGTTGTTGTGTTCGAGGTATAGTGGAAGGTGTAAGTGGAAGGTGCAAGTATATAGCTAGCTACCACGTGACCCGTCCAGGATAATAGGGATCGTTACAGGGATAGCAAGACGGTAGTAGATACCTACAATTTGTTTATAAACCACTAACAAAATTAAGTCACTTTTATCACATCGACTACTTCAAAAACCACTTCAAAAACTGCTCCAAAAACTGCTCCAAAAACTGCTCTCTATCATCATCAAGGGATTAAAGATAAAATACACGTCTTTTCCACTGTGCTAATCGAACGCTTTGTCCATCGTAGGAGATTATAAATTATCTGTATTATATCTGGGACTTCTAGTCCTCCTTGGTTGCTTTGGACCACGCTTCACTTGAGAGGATCGACCAGAATACTGTAGAGTTCCTGCAGCTGTTAATACCTGGTAAATCACGTACTGATGGGATAACAGCCTCGGATGGTGTCTTCGCTCATGTTGGCGGCGTGATGGAGCTTGGATGGCCGTTTTCCCTTCCAATATTTGCTGAAATTCCGTTTTCAATTTTCAATTTGTATTGCATTGAACGCTGTAGACTGAAGAAGGTGGACTTTGAATTGATTAAGTATGGGAAGGGGAGCACGGCGTTGTTGCTGCCATCCCCGAACGCCGCTCTTCCTGTTCCATCCCCGTTGGAACGCCGTGCCTCCCGTGGGTGGATATTCGCGTCTTCAAGTTGAATCCCTAGGCATGGAAATCAACGAATCTCCAAGATCGAGTCCCAAACTTTTGCACATAGACAGTTGTGATTTGATATCCACTGGCATTAGAGCGGATCCATGTCGGTAACGACCTACTAAACATTGAAGATAACTGTCATTGTATGAATCCCCCGGTCCCAGCCCCTTCCATCACCCACCCCATCTCTGACCAATTCATAAAGCAATCCAGATCACCCATCTCGATGCTCGACCAGAATGGTTCGCCTGGGCTTTGGTCCGCAACCACCTCCGGGCACTCTGGTAATCGTACTGCCCAAATCATCCCCAATTTACTAAACGGATCGCCATACGCGCCCTCACTGCGCATCCCAACCGCATCCGCCACCTGGGCCATGCGTGTGGCAATCTGCTCCGCAATGACAAGTATGTCCGCCGTGCTTTTTCCCATCCCGGATAGTCCAAAGTAGATAGGCGGAAGAGGGTCACCAGGCAGTGCGACACCTGTGTAAGATAAGGGAGCGCCAGGGACGTGTATCCAGCTGGAGGGATTGTGAAAAATAGATCAAAAAACTGTTTCACCTCGTGGAGACAGGCGTAGAGGTGATCAAGCCGCTGGGGGCTGAATTCCTCGTCTGCAAGGGGCTTAACTAGGGCAGCTTCATGAAGACTAAGCTCAGTGTCGTACAAATGAAAAGAATGGGTTCTAAGACAGGTTAAGTGAGTACTGTAAATGGGACATCTTTTTGCCAGGGGATCTGCATACTGTTGTCAGCCAGTTGAATGGGAATCTCAGCCTTGATCGTCTCCAACCGTGACTGGAGTGCCTTGAGATGGAAGGCGGCTAGGGTTTGCGCCGAATTGAGGCCATACAGACCCTCACTCCAGGGGCCTTGAAGAATCTGGTCCACGAGAAGTCGGGTACGCGTGAACTGGACTAGCACTCCATCACCAGGCGATTCTTCACTGTCCGCTAAAATATCAAGACATTGCTTCATATGTGGGGTCCATTGCAGTGGTTCCATTCGACCCAAGAACTGCGCGATTCTGTACGAGGTCTGTCAATTCGATGCCCAATCGCTTTGCCGGATGTGGGCTCTTACATAGAAGTCAGCACAAAGCAGCTCAATACTGCCCGGCGTTCATTCATCGTGCGCCGAGTTGAAATCGATGCTTCCAAACCCGGCATATGGCCTACGGCATTGGAGTTCGAGACTGTCATGCTAAGATCCGGAGGCGCGGGCTTGTTGAGGCCCAGCTCGAAGACTAGCCCGATCGCCATTTGGGAATATATACAGAGCGATGACTTTTGCGGCTGGCTGTGCAACGTGACCCTGGTCGAGAGTAAGCAAGGAAGGGAGAGGACTTCAGCAAACCCCATGTCACTGAACCACAATGGGAGGTGAGCACACCATACCATGCAAGATAGACCAATACTCCCTGCAATAGATCCAGAGACTTATCGCAGTCGACCAGCAGCCGCTTGCCCGCCAACTCCCGGATCCTAACACACAAGGTTGCTTGACGTGCTGTATGCTTACTTTCCACAGCAGAAATACAACGCCACAGAAATGGTGACTGTCGTTTCAGATCACCAGCGGTTGTTGTGGCTGGTATGTGGATCAGGGGGAGGAACTGCAGCCGCTGGGTCCGAAAAGCGTGCAGAGACTCTTCTTCACTTCCTAATGTTTCTTCGTCTTCTCTTTCTGATTCGACCTCAGGTTGCCCCATCCCCTGCACCTCAGGTTGTCCCCGAACCGGCGTTGGCAGATCCGTCCGACCGCCGGAGGAGGTCAGCAGCGACATCAAGCCATCCATTTTCCGTTCCAGCTGAAACAAGGTCTTGGGCTGGGTCTTGCGACGTCCCTGAGGAACGCGGCATCCTTTGTTCAAACGATGACATCTGTGAATAATATCAGACTCGAATACATTCCCAACCAGTTCCCATCCCACTGCGTGGATAGTGTTCCTCCGCATGGTGTTGGTCCACTCACCTTTCACAGCGGCCGCCACCACCAACCCGGTGGACGCAACGGCACTTGGCACGAGCACAGGTGGCACATGCATTTCCATAAGGCAGAGGCGAGCGCACGGTGGATTCTATCCTGGCCGACCATCTGCTTAGTAATCTCAGTCGAGTAGAAGAAGACGACAAAAATGGGGAAGGGAACTGGAACAGGAAGAGGAATCGGAGACGGCATTCGACGAACGCCGCTCGAATGCCATACTACATCAACCTCATCCTCGTGAGAATGAGAACTCTATGGTGGATTTCTTCTCTGGCATATTTTGTGTCTTTTGTCAATGTTGGGTACGGGTACGGCTGTATCAGTCAGTGGTGTGATACATGTCTTCCTGCAAAGGTTCACGATGCACCTGGGGTTGGCTTTGATCTGACCCCCTTATACGGGTAAGTATCTTAATGGTCTTCTTTTTATTACCTAGAAATCTAACTCATGTTTGGAATCTAGGACAGCCGTGGTACACTACTATAATGGAACTGTTGTCGAGGTTGCCAAGGTTCTAGGGAGTCCGGAGTACCTCGAACTCATGGCACGTCTGGCTACCATATCTAAGCCGTTTCCTAACTCAACCCTCGGTTTTATAAGTGGACTCTCATTACGATTAGTGGAAAATCTCCTCCCGGAGGTATCGTCGCCGTGGAGAGACTGGTGGCGTTGGCTGAATACGAAACTCGGTCGACCGGTCAAACCAGATGAGGTCGAAATCATTAGTGATTTACTCCAGCAATTGAAAGTCTTAACCGAAAAAAAAATATCCCAGCCTCTCGATAGAGTTGCCGTTACGGATCCCGGCTTCCAGTCTCTTAAATCAGTGACACTCAACGCTGCACTTCGAATGTCAGATTTACGCACATGGGTAGGCGACAGCATTTATTACGCAAATCGGATAGTGGAAGGAGATGCTGTTTATGCAGCGAACGGTTATGGACTATGTGCCGATTACCTGGATCTATCCCATTGCAGTGACGAATTTGCAGAGTCACCTGATCCTACTGTGCTTCTTGTTTCCTATAACCGCAATCTCTTATATACTAGCATTGTGGAAGGTGACACTGGTGAAGCTTTTAGTCGGATTACTCGTGTTGAGGCGCAGCTCGTAGATTACGAGCTTGGGCTAGACCGTCTTCTCGAAAAAGACGAAGCCATATTATGGGACCGCCTTCGTTCACAACTCCAGATCCTCCCTCGGGAGTTCGAACATCCTATTACGCATCTCGTTTTAGCAGGCGAGAGCGTAACGCACCCTCGCTTCCTGACTACCTTGAGGGATTCCATATCTGAACTCTCGCCTGATGTTGTCAATATCAAACTCGCAATGGATCCAACTTTCGCTGCGGCTCGTGGTGCGGCACTATACGCCCGAAGGCGCCAAGAGGTGCAGAGCAACTGCACGGAACGGAGTGAATGCGAAGAGACGAGGTTGCACGAGCGAGTGTACACTTCCACGCAAGAGGGTCTGCGCTCTAGACGGGAGGAGCTGCGCTGAACTGGATGAAATGAATTATTTTGCTACTGTAGTTAACTAGTTAGTTAGTTATGCAGACGCAGATGACTAAGTACTGAGTTTTACCATCACAACAGTAGGAAGAAAAGTCCATGATTTCTAGGGATGAAATTGTAGGCGCTTTTCGGTGACTCGACGTTGATTCGCTCACAGATGAGGTGATCAGAACAAGAAATATGAGTCTGTCATTGCGGATTGAATATCTCCCACAAAGCCTCAATTTAAAAGGGCCGTGATTTGTATAAATGTTTCGCTGATATAGGCGTAATATTGCTGTTTTGTAAAGAAATGGCCCAACCGACGTGTAGTCACTTGACTCTGGCAGAATTGAATTGATGCCTTCTGTGTAAGGCAGAACCAGGCAGAGCCCCATTAACCAAGGGGGTCCCTGAGGCTGTTACAATCCCCCACACATATTCACGTAAACCATGTCGCGATCAGTGTCCATTGCAATTCTAGCATTTTGGGTATATAGTTACAAGCCAGAAGTAATCAAAACGAACTCGAGGGGAAGACGGGCTATTCGCTGCACGCTACCATCGTTCCTGTCATCTCAAACAACGCCTTAACCCAGCGCAGCATGAAGTAGACGCTGGCAGCGGTTTTTCAGTACCACCCCTCTGCCCTCAGTATGCTCCTAGCTCGTGCGTGGATCATGCCCCATTTCACGCTTTGTCGTTAATGATATAGTGTCGGAATCCGAATAGCTCATCGGAGGGCAGGTCACAGCGCAAGTCAAGTCGTAGTGAACAACTATGTAGGTTTGGCAGGGCAGCTGGGTCGCTATGCAGCTGGGTTGCGACGGATGCGAGTGTCGACATTCGGCGCGCGGAGGAAATAGCGAAAAAGTAAAATTTAACCAAGGACCAGCTCGTAGACAATGATGACTGTGTTGATGACGATAAGGGGTACTGGATGCGCGGATGTGTTAGCTATATATCTATCCCGTCGGGCCGTGGCTGGTGTCTCGGTTATCGAGTAGAACAGCTTGCGACTTATTCAGGTTGAAAGCTGTCACTCAGATTCGAGAGAAAGGACCGTGGTTGTATGGTCGCGGGGTTGGGAAACGTACTGCGCATCACGGTCCGCACACTGGCGATCAGGTCGACGGATTTGGCTTTCACGCTTGTGCTATCGTATGTTGCGCCGAAGCCTGGCTCGGGTTGTGTGCGACCCATTCCGACTGTATGTTTCCGGTATTCATTAGGTTTGATTCTTCTAGACGGGCTGTAGCTAGGAGGGACGTACCGCGAGCTAGGAAGCGATCCTCGGAGAGGACGGCGATGGCATTGATGATGAGGACGATGACTGGGAGGCGGGTTATTATCATAAGCTAGAGAAGAGGATAGCAAGTACATACCGTAAAACAGCTTCCCAAGGCCGAAGAAGAAAAACATCTTTGCGGGTTGGAGAAGATGTTAAAGGTGAAGTGCGGGAGGCGCCAGATCTCCGGATTTACACTCCTCGGATGCAGTCACCATGGGATATAGTTCGTTCGCTCTGTACAACAACACCAGGCGATAAGCTAACTGTTTTTATAGCATATGCGATTCTCGCTCTTCTCTTCCCAGCCTTGATCCTCCTTCATCTCCTCGTCGCTCCATACACCAAAGTCGAGGAGTCGTTCCACGTCCAGGCCGTACATGATATTTTGGCCAACGGGTTGCCAAATGGCTTTAATGACCTGAATCTCAATCGCTCTGACTATGACCATTTCTCTTTCCCGGGGGCTGTTCCCCGGAGCGCTATTGGCGCTATGGCGCTCGCGATGCTCTCGAAGCCTGTGATCTTGTTGAATGAGGGGATCAACCGACAGATATTAGGTACGGCATAGATTATACTGCGATACGTCAAGCAGACTAACACCAAAATCCAGCTCGAGCTATCCTGGGCCTACTCAATGCCTCTTCCCTAGCAATCTATGCAAGAGGCCTACGTCATAGCTTCGGCCAGCCAACAGCTATCTGGTATATCCTACTCCAAGCAAGCCAGTTCCATTTGATATTCTATGCCTCAAGGCCATTATCAAACATGTTCGCCTTCAGCATCACAACACTAGCAATGTGTTTGCTTCTCCCGGGCCCTCGTCCAACATCAGACCAAAAGAAATGCGGCTTAGCACTCGCGCTCCTTACCACAGCAGGCGTAGTCTTCCGCTCCGAGTTAGCCCTCCTAGTCGGAACCCAGACTCTCTTCCTGCTAGCAACAAGACGGATCAACCTCCAACACACCATCATCGCAGGCCTAGTAGGCCTCACCACCGGGCTCACCCTCACCGTCTACCTCGACAGCACCTTCTGGCAACGCTTCCCCCTCTGGCCGGAGTTCGAAGCCTTCCGATTCAACGTCCTAGCAGGCCAGTCCTCCGAATGGGGTACCGAGCCATGGTCCTTCTACTTCCTAAACTCCCTCCCCCGCCTCCTCTCCAATCCCCTCTCCTACCTCCTCGCCATCCCCGTCGCGCTACGCCAACCCGCCACGCGCTCCCCGGCCCTGGCACTTCTCATCCCGGCGCTTTCCTTCGTCGCCCTCTACAGCTTCCAGCCACACAAGGAATGGCGCTTCATCGTCTACATCATCCCCTCCCTGACGGCAGTAGCAGCCCTCGGCGCCGCATATCTCTGGACGCACCGCTCGCGCTCCGTTTTCGCCCGACTGGCGACACGCGCCCTGGCCATCTCGACACTCGCCACGTTCTGTCTGTCGAATCTCGTGCTCCTTCCTGCGTCCGCGGCAAATTACCCTGGTGGGCAGGCTCTCGACGCCATGCATTATCAACACTCTGTCCTTCACGATACGGGCTTGCGTTCTGAGAAGAGCAGCGCGCCGATCAATGTCTACTTAGGTAACCTCGCCTGCCAAACGGGCGTAACGCGCTTCGTGCAACAACACCCTTCGTCGGGGTGGGTATACGACAAAACCGAAGACAAGACTGTGAAAGCCACTAGTGGGTTCTGGGAGCCGTTCGATTATGTTGTTGTCGAGGCGGGTGATCAGGCCGGGTTCATGGATGCTGATGAGAGCAGTCTCCGGCGTGCGCTCCCTGCTTCGGACTGGGAGAGGGTGCTTGTGGTAGATTCGTTTGCGGGGGTTTCGATCTTGAAGCCTGGGACTCCTGCTACGGGAACTGCTGAGCGCCGTGTTATCGGTGCTGTTGCGGGTGCTCGTGCTGTTGGTTTGTTTGAGGGTCTGCGCGAGTATATGAGGAGTGCTTTGTTGCGTGGGTGGTGGGTTGAGGTTAAGATGAGACCGAGGGTTCAGGTGTTGAGGCGGGTGAGGGAGGGATCTAATGTTTAGTATGGTAGTAGGTAGTCTAGTCTGTCTACAGTTACACTATAGTAGTCTTTCATATAAAAAAGAAGGCCATCTGGTATGGAACCGATATTGACAATTGAAGATAACTACAATATGCCCTCAACATTCGACGTACATGCAAACTGGGTATTATTCATCAAACCTCTGTCCCGGGCAGAGCAGATCAAAAAAAAGTAGACAAGAAATGGATTAGAGTGCCACGGGACCTTCCAGACGTGCCAGACGAGACTCCAAGTCGCGCACCCATGGCTCGACAGTTTCCACGTTGGAGCGGAGAGCAGCTTCGCCCTGTTGCATCTTCTCTTCGACGGTCGTCAGACCTTCACGCCACTGCTCGATCTCCGACGCCATCTCGGCATGGCGCTTTTCTAGCTCGTTGAGCGAGTCCGCGGCGTGGGCTGCGCCGGCGTGGCAAGCGCGCAAAGAGCGCAGACGCTCGAGGACGCTCGGGAGCAGAGGGTGCAGGGACTGGATGGTTGGGAGGGTGGTGTAGAGGGCTTGGATCTTGGCAGCATGGTCGTCGTCGGTCGATGCTTCTAGTGCAGGGACGATGTCGGCGTCGGAACTTGCTAGACGGGCGTTGTGGACGGCCTTTGCGGCCTCGAAGGCTTTTCTGCGGGCTGCGGTGAGCGCCTCGGCATCGGTGGTCAGCTTTCGCACTCGCGTGGAGAGAGCTTCCAGGTGTGGGGTTGTCATTCCTGGCGCGGCATTGGGTACTCCTGGTGTCGTGGCTGCTGGGCTTGTGCCGACGAGAAGTCCGGTGAGTGCTGACAGGCGGGAGGTGAGTTGGTCCAGAGCTGGGAGGACTGATCGCGACGTTGAGTCATTGACGCCGTCGGCGATGAAGGGGTTGGAAGTACTGGAGACACCGAGGGAGCTTTCAAGAAGCGCTAGGCGACTGTCGAATGCTGCTGCGTGAGTGAGAATCCCTGCCGAAGAGGCAGTTGGCGCCTGCAATGCCCTTGGTGTATCCCCCGAGGATTGTCTCCTTGCGTCTGTAGCAGGGTGAGTCTCAGGTCTAAGCTTCTGAGACAGCAAAGCCGCAGCCGAGTGTGATGAGCTCGCCGCACCTCGCGAGGCGTGCAGATTGTCCAGAGCGCGGCTAAGCTCCGCAACGCCATCACCTAGGTTCTCTCCTGGCTTTTCAGCTTCAGCATCTGGGCTGTCGTTTTTGTTGGCCATTTCCACCTTGAGGTCTTCAACCTCCCTCCGTAGCCGCGCAAGCCTCCGGTCAAGTGACTCGTCCTCGCTATCACTCAGGTCACCAACCTCCTCCACCCCGTCCTCGCGTCTCCGTCGACGGCGGCGGCTGATGCTCTTGCTCCGGTAGGCCTGCCGTTTCATGGAAATGCTATCTGAGAAATTGACGTCGCGGGCGTCCACGGCCGCGCCCATGAAGTGCAAACGCGCCTGGTCTGGGTTGACACCCTCGCGGTCGATATCGGAGTTTGAGCCTGCATCATCATGGTCGGAGTCTGTGCGGATAGTGGTAGTCTAGACAGTATCAGTGATGAGGCCCGCCGACGTCTCTTTGGTGTGGAATTGGCGAACTCACGGGCAAGGTGGATGCTTCGTCGGTCAAGTCGGGGGTTTCATAGATATCTGGGGATGGGTCCTGGGTTACAGTCAGTAGAAGCCCCGTGGATATCAGCCAAGAATTCTCACCAGATCAGGAAGACCGGCATATTTCTTATTGAACGACATGATTGGATTGTAGCTCTCGAAGTATAGTAAACACCGAGCTCTCCTTAATCACATGTACAGTCATCAGATCATGTGACTTCTAGCCTCGGATTCGAGAATAAACACATGCTTGAAGACCATTGCTTAACCAAGACAACTATATATTAGGTGACATTGGAAGTTCCTCTATTTTCTTCTTTTTACCCCTTGAAGTTCGACTTTTTCTTCAACTGACCAAATTGTCCTTTCATTGCTTATCACTTCCCCCCGCCATACCCGCATCAACCGGATACTATACATCAACCTTCAAGATGGCCGCCCCTGCTGATATTACTATGCAGAACCTGAATGGAAAATGGGAGATGGTATGCTCAAATAAAACAAGCCATATAACAACATACTCATGTATCACAGGACTCAACCCATTCTAACCCGACAGACCCTATTCTATCTCTGGTATGCACTCCAAGCCCTAACCTTCCGGCCTTCCTGGTTACTCGAATATAACAGCCAAGAGTCTCACAACCCCTGTCACAATACTCCAATCATACAAATGCATAACTCAAATCCACAGCCTAACCACAATAATTATTATCCCCTGCCCTACATATACCATACCATACATAAACCCCATCCAACAACTCAACACCACTAACAATCCAAACAGCAAGGAGTGGGCTGGCTCATTCGCAAGACTCTCTCGTACGCGACAGTGACAATCTACATCACCCAGTACGCAGACAGCGAGAACCCCGCGCTCATCCACGTCGACGCGCAGCAAGTAATCACAGGCGGCATCCAAGGCACCAAGGAAGAGCGCCGACTGGACTGGGAAGAGCGCGAGCACGTCGACCACATCTTCGGCAAGCTGAAGGGCCGCTCGCGCCAGATCGCCGGCGCTAAGAGCGAGGATGGCGCTGTGCGCCCTGTCCTCGAGGCCCAGACTAAGGCCGGCTCGCCTGAGGCTGATGCTAAGGTGTTGAAGTTCCTGATTGGCGAGACTCTCATTGATGGGTCGAAGAGTGAGGGATTCTTGGCTGAGGAGGGCGAGGGCGTGTTTTTGCAGAGCTTTGTGCAGAATGTCGAGTCTGGGTGGACTGCTGAGCAGGTTTGGGGATTTGAGATTGTTGATGGCGAGAGACGTCATACTCGTCGTGTTGTTGTCGTTAAGGATGGGAAGGTTGCTTCTGCTAGACTTGTTTACGCTTTCAAGGAGCGTAAGGTTGCCGAGTAAGATGTTCTTGCTCTTGCTCTTGCTCGTGTGTTGAGTATAGCCTTGTATTTTCTAGGGCTTTCAGTTTCTTAGTTTTCTATAGACCATAGGTCAATATAGCTTTCAACCTGGCCAATGAGTTTAGTTAATGGTAGTACGTACCAGGGAAGTGTGAGTTTGATCATAGACATGCTATAACCTCATAGATCGTTTCTTCATGGAAAAGTCGTTTGCGCAAACTAAGCCTTTTCCCCCTTTCCGCTGTCTGCCTAGAAAACCAAAGAAGTGGAGAATATGTATATCTAAAAAAATACATCTGAAAAGACTACCAAAATGAGTTTGCAAGGCCGCATAAGCGAATATGCGATTATAATTCTGCATACACTGTTCAATCTGCAATCCATGTCCATATTCATGAATTTTGTGACATAAAAGCATATAATTCAGATACATTCATTGAGATCCATAAGGCGTATGTTTTGCCTAACAAGAAAAGACAAATTTTTTTCATGCGAATGACCGGCTAAAGGAAAAGCAAGAAAGCAAGAGGCATATACCATATTTATGAGTGAGTGGGCATAACCACGTTAGCCTTGGTGCTGATCGCATCCTCGCTCTTCCAAAGGCTGGTCACAGTCTTCTGCTGAGTGTAGAACTGCAAGCCGGGCTTGCCGTAGAAAGTGTTGGCACCGCCACCGGCAATACTCTTCTTGTTACCGGTGAAAGAGAACATGGGAAGAGGGACGGGAATTGGCACGTTGATACCGAGCTGGCCAGCCTCGCACTCCTTCTGGAACTTGGAGGCGGTCGAGCCGGAGCGTGTGAAGATGGCGGCACCGTTGCCGTATTCGTTGGCGTTGATCACATCAATGGCGTCGTCAAGGGTCTCGGCGTTGAGGCACACGAGAACGGGACCGAAGATCTCCTCCTTGTAGCACTTCATATCGGGGGTGACATTGGTGATGATGGTCGGGCCAACCTGCGGAGGCACAATTAGTTTGAGATACATATATGAGTATCTGTAGTGGGACTTACAAAGTTACCGTTGGGGTAGTTCTTGGGCTTAAACCCACGGCCATCCAGAAGAATGGTCGCACCCTCTTCCTCGGCGCTAGTAATCAAGTCCTCAATACGCTTCTTGCTCTCAGGGCTGATCACAGGGCCGAGGTCAGCACCCTCCTCGAAGCCACCGTCCACGATCAGGGCCTTGGCTCGCTCGGCGATCTCAGGCAGCCATTCCTTAGTCTCGGCAACCATAACACAGGTGCTCAATGCCATACAGCGCTGACCAGCAGCACCAAATGCAGCACCGACGATGGCGTTAAGAGCCTGGTTTTTGTTGGCGTCAGGTAGGACAGCGGCATGGTTCTTAGCACCCAGGTTAGCTTGCACGCGCTTGCCATTAGCAGAACCACGAGCGTAGATATATTCGCCAGCACGGTTGCTGCCAACAAAGCTGATAGCCTTGATAGCAGGCTCGTCAAGGATGAAGTCCACAGTGGGAGCGGCGCCGTGGATGATGTTAATGACACCCGGTGGGAAACCGGCCTCCTTGGCAAGCTCTGCCAGGATCATCGCGGCACCAGGGTCCCGCTCGGATGGCTTCATGACCAAGCAGTTACCAGTCACGGTAGCGACTGGAATGCACCAAAGAGGAATCATGGCAGGGAAGTCTTGGTGATAATTAGCATCCGTGTGGAGGGATTGAGAGTGGTGGGCAACTTACTGAATGGGCAGATAGCGGCCACAACACCGAGTGGCTCGCGGTAGCTTCTTGTCTCCATATCCTTGGCCACCTCCAAGACTTCACCGGTCATCTGGGTGGTGATACCACAGGCGGTCTCGGCAACCTGAAGGCCACGGAGAACATCACCCTTGGCGTCGGCGAAAGTCTTACCCTGCTCAAGGGTAATGGACGCAGCCAATCGGTCCCAGTGGGTACGGATGAGGTTGGTAAACTTGAAAATAATCTGCTGTCTGGCCATGATGCTGGTAGCCCTCCAAGCGGGGAAGGCCTTCTTGGCCGACTCCACAGCGGCCTTTAGCTCCGCATCTGTGCTCTGGGGGACACGGGTGACCAGATTGTTGGTGGCAGGATCATGAAGATCAATCCATTTAGATGCCTTAGATGACACAAACTCATTGTCAATGAAGTTAGCAGTGTCAATTGGGTTGGCAATCTTTTCGTGGCTTGTTGGGTATTCAGTAGCAGTTGAGACGGCCGAGGTTGTTGCTTGGACGAGTCGCTGCGCTGTTGCGTGCAAGCGACGAGTGGCAGAGAGTGATGAAGAGGGGACAGCTACTCTGCGGGAGACCAGACTGGCGAGGGAAGTAGTAGTGAGAGATCTGGAAGAAGCAGCTCTGGCAGTTACCGACACCGTGCGGGGAACTGCGCGGACGGTGGGGATGGAACGGGCAATTGACCGACAAGCAGCCATGATGAATTATAGAGAGGTAAAAGCAGTAGAATTAGAGAAAAGGACAAGTCACAGATTAAGTAGAAAGAGAAATATAAAGACGATCTGGGGGTGAGAGGACCTCGGGAATGATATATCTATGGCTACCCCGACCCCCAGGCCCGAGGGAAACCGCCTTAGTCACAAGGGCGGTCCACGGGTATTCCCCACGTTGCAATGTGAACCCCCAGATAAGGTAGCTTTTCGGCGGTTTGAGCCAATCAGGAGTTGCAAATTGGCTCTTATATCGCCGAGACTAATAACTGGGGGGCATTTATCGATTGCATATATTCTTTTTCGGGGCGCGTACTAGACGTTGTAGGCAGGGGATCATGGCGATTTAGGAAGGCATTTCCCATTTCAAGCTTTACTTTACGTCTCCTATATCGGAGGGAGCTAAGTCATAGTCATGACACTGTTAAAAGGAAAGGCGGTTCCAAGAAAGAAATAAAATGAATACCGAGTAGAAATAATAGAGATAAACAGGAGTATACAAATCGGGCCTCCATTCAATGTTTCATGAACCTTCACCCCAAAAACATCGGTCAAGACACAACAAGAAAGGGATCACTGCGGTAACTAAATGCAAATCTCTTCACTGGGTGGGTAAAATTCTTTTCTGCGTATAATTGTTTTCAATCATCGCACTTACTCGGCCGAGGATCGGGTGGTGCGCTTGGTGGCACCGCCCTTGCTAGTCTCAGCGGAGGAGGTAACAGCCTCTTCCTTCTTCTCCTTGGGAGCACCGGCGGGCTGCTTGCCCTTCTTCTCGGTCGGGGAGGCAGGGCTGCTAGCACCAATGGCACCCACAATGATGAGGATCATAGTCAAGAGGAGCGCACCCAGGCCACCGGCCACCTCAGGAAGGGTCTTGACAGCGTTGATGGGGTCCTCCTTGGCCAGATCAACGAAGTGGTTGACCTTCTGGCGGACGAAGGCAACAGGATCCTCCTGGAAGGTGACGGTGGTATCCTCGTGCTTGACCTCGGGCTTGGGCTTGGAAGCCTCCTCCTCAGCCTCCTCGATGGGGAACTTGACATCGAAGGTCTCCTGGCGGAGCTTCTCAGCATCCTCAATGGAGTGACCAATGTAGAGGTTGTCGAACAGAATGTCATTCTGCATGGTCCAGATTTCGAAGCCAATAGCGCCCATGGGCTCAAGGTTGGATGGAGTCTTGTCCTCGAAGTAGGCGGGGTTCTTGATCTTACGGGGGGCCCAGACACCCTTGTAGGCAGGGTTATCGATGAGAGGAGCCTCCCACTTGCCCTTGTACTCGGGGTTCTTGATCAGAGGGCGGGTCCAAGGGCCACAGCCAGAGACTTCGGCACACTTGGGGTTGGGGACAGTGGGAGCGAGCCAGTCTCCATCCTCCTCGTCATCCCAATCCTCGGGCTTCTCGGCCTCGGGGTCGGGAATGCTCTCGGGCTCATCCTCCAGCCAGTCGGCGGGCTGGGTGGCCTCTTCATCGAGGATCTCGAACGGAGCATCTTCATCCCAGTCGGCGGGCTTGGTGGCTTCGGGGTCGGCGATCTTAGTCTCATCGACCCAGTCGGCGGGCTTAGAGTCCTTGGGATCATCAATCTCCTTCTCGGGGTTGACGGGAGGGTTGAAGTCCTCGAGGAGGCTACCCTTCTTGGCAGAGTCGCCATTGATCAGGATCTCAAAGGTCTGATCGGGGTTGACGATCAGGGTGTAGAGGGAGGTGACCTTGTTGGTGCGGGCCACGGGAGGAGTCTTGAGGTGCTTCTCTTCGTACTCGCCGGTCTTGGGGTTCTTGTGGCGGAAGATGAAGTGAACCTTATTAGTGGCACCGCACTTGTCAGGTCCGAACATGATGACATAGGGAGTGGCGTTGGAGAACTCCTCCTGGTGGAGCTTCTTGTTCTCTTGGAGAAGCTTAAGGTAGGCACCGCCGCAAACCAGGGAGTCTAACACAGGACAATTCCAGTCAGCACATAAGATCTCGAACAAATGTAGAAAGGCATAACTCACTTTGCGGCTTGACCTCATACTGAACCACCAGGGTCTTGCCCTTGTTGTCAATCTTCTTCGGGAACTTGGCGGAGATGGCATGGTGGGCAGCAGCGTTCTTCACGACCAGACCCTTGTCGCCCTCGATACCCTTGAAGACGGAGGGCTCCTCAACTGCCCATTCACCAATGTAAGCCCACTCATCCTCAGACTTGTCATCCTTCTTTGCGTGAGAAGGCTTCCACCGAGACTCCCAGTCGTCTGTGAATTGCTCCAGGAAAGGAGCTTTGAGGCTAGTGGGCTTGCAGGAGTTAGCAAAGTGAGTGAAGAGGGAGCGTTTCAGATACATACAGTGAAGGTAGGCTTTTCAATGACGGTGGTATCCGCAGTCTCCTCCTCCGCATGGGCGTAGCCCATGAGGCTGGCGGAGGAGACCAGAGCCGATGTCAACGCAGTGTTAAAGCGCATATTGTGAACAACAAGTAGAAGGAATGAAAGTGGAGCACACAGCACCAAGTGAAGAAAAGAGGAGATGTGGTTTTATAGAAAGGGCAACACTGGGGGGAAGGTCCAGGTGGCCTCTTCCCTAAGCTC